GATAGATAGATAGATAGATAGATAGATAGATAGATAGATAGATAGATAGATAGATAGATAGAGATAGATAGATAGATAGATAGATAGATAGATAGATAGATAGATAGATAGATAGATAGATAGATAGATAGATAGATAGATAGATAGATAGATAAGATAGTAGATAGATTAGATAGATAGATAGATAGATAGATAGATAGAGAGATAGATAGATAGATAGATAGATAGATAGATAGATAGATAGATAGATAGATAGAAGCTCTCGCTGATAGCTGTAGCTAGCTCGATAGATAGCTAGATCGATTGATCGATAGCTCTCTCGATTAGCTCGTAGTGGATAGTCCATGATAGATCGCTCGTAGATTCGCGTCGCTAGGTCTCCTCCCCAGTAAAGTCCTACCAAATTATATTTGTTCTTTTTTCTTTATGTTCCAAAAAATAATACGTTCTTTTTTTCTAAAAACGCTAAGTATCAACCACATTTTTTTATTTTCAGACTAGAATCTATTTATAATTAACGGTGCACATGGTGACAAAACCGTACATTTTGTAAAATACTTAAATATGTACAACGTGTTAACATGCCTAATATGTAAATATCTGTATGTACGTCTAAATATTTACGTACATATTTATTTACTGTTAAACGACATACATATGTACATACATACATATCTATGTATATTTAGTTACACTTGCAAAATTAAGATTAAAAGTATGACATAGTATTATTGTGAAATCGAAATACTAGCTAGTAGTTACAGTTTGTCCTCGTAAAATGCAAATTTATGCATTTTAAATAAAATACTAATTTCAAACATAAATTAATTGATAATAGCATTCCAACATACATACATTTATTGTTTTAAGATTTGAAATAAACATTTCCAACTTTTTTATTTTTACTTTATATTTAAGAAATTTTACAGAAAGTGATAATTGTCTCACAATTAGTCAGCATCCGGAACCGATAGCAGTTGTTAATGCCATCTAGACTCTGGTTTTAGTATTATTTTGCAATAATCGAGATTGCATTATATTTGCTATTTATATTAAGTATTCGACTCAAAAAGTTTTTCTTTGTTTAAACAACTAATAGACAAATACATATTATAGTTTTAATTAAATAGTCTATAATTTTTATTACAATTTCGCTGAAAGTCAATAAAAAAATTTCAATTTAAACTATTTGCATTTACGTCGAGGGACATAAAAAAGTGATGCCGCTGGTAGATTTTTATCTCTATAGTATTCTAAAAATTTATTTCAGCAATTTTAATTTTGATTTTCTTTTTTAAAAAATGGGTTATAATAAAACTGCAAGACGGTTATCCTATGTATGTATGTCCGTTGAAACAAAAATAGAGGGAATATTGTGGCTGGAATTTTAAACAAATATTTCCTGTTGAAGAAGTTTATTTATCGTTCCAAAGGAAACATCTTTGATCTTGATTGATTGCAAAAAAATAATTGTTAACTAGTTTTATTTAATAATATCTAATAAACAAGTAGGAAAGTATAGTCGGGCATGGCCGACCATATAATACCCTACACCATGAGTATATTTTAAAAATTTTTATTTTTCACAAAGAAACTTTTATGTTGAATTTTGCGTTAATTCCAAAGTATTTAAGTAATTTATTGATAAAAAACAAATTTTCTAAATGAGGCTTTATATAGGAGTATAGGTCAAACATGGGCCGATCCTCATTAAATTTGGGAAAAGGATATATTTTTAATTATATTTCATTGCGATACAAATGGTTACAAGTCAATTTTAGACGTTTAAGACATTTTTTGAAGGGGGGTTTGTATGGGGGCTAGGGTCAAATAAGGGCCGATCATTACGAAAATCTGCAGTGTCATTTATACTTATATGAAACTTATTTGTGCCAATTTTTAAGGAGATAATAGTATATTTGACGTAATTATGGCATAAAAAGCCCAAATCGGGAGGTACGGTTGTATGGGGGCTAGGTGAAATAATGGACCGATTTCAACCATTTTCAATAGGCTTCGTCCTTGTGCCAAAAAACATGCTTGGTCCAAATTTCATCAAATTATCTCGAAAATTGCGGCCTGTACCTTGCGCACAAGGTTTACATGGACAGCCAGCCGGACAGACGGACGGACATGTCTTAATCGACTCAAAATGTGATTCTGAGTCGATCGGTATACTTAAAGGTGGGTGTAGGACCAATATTTTTGTGTGTTACAAACATCAGCACAAACGTATAATACCCTCCCCACTATAGTGGTGTAGGGTATAATGAAGTTGCAGTTTGTGTAATATTTCCGGTGTTAAATAAAACGTGAATTTAGTTTAAATCTTTTAAACGTGATCACTTTAAGTTCGACATGACTAAGCCTACAATGAAATAAAATTTCGATAAGTAATTACTTGAATTGTGGGTTCTAATATTTATATTAAAAATAACAAAGTAAATTTGTTGTATTTGTTTACAAAATAGTTGAAATGTTAATTGAAATTAAATGCTCACAGGTGCATTTTCAAACATGTGTTTAAGTAGAAAACAAAAATTGTTATAAAAAATGTTAATCGATCATAAAGTTTTCGGCACATGGAATTTTGTGTGGATTTTTTGTACTCCCATCGAAATACCGCAAATAAGAAAAAACATTATATATTTAAAAATACGATAGTATAAGAAATAAAACCACCACCCATCAGCCAATTTAAAGTTCATTGGTCTTTGGTTTTTATTATTTTTTATTTATTTATTTTTTTTTTTTTTTTTTTTTTTTTGAATTTATTATTTTGCAACGTGAGACATTGCATTGTGCACATTTTAAATGCACAACACCATACACTAACAAACACACATACATACGACATTGTGAAATAAACACGGTCACTGGTCTGTTATTGCAACTAAACCAATGTTCGTTCTTATTTATCCAAAACTTATAAACCCAACAAACAAAAAAACCTGTTCCACTAAAAATTACAAAACTAAAACTACTTAAATTTAATAAAAAATAATTTTTTCATTTACTGAGTAGTTAAGGTTCTTAGTTCTCATGGACATTTCTATACAAAAAAATCGATTTTTGGGAAGGAGTAAACGTGAACACAGATTAAGCTTATTTTCTTGCAAAACCCATTGTTAACTGAGTTATAAAGTTTTTTAGTTTTCATAGACTTCTCCATTCAAAAAAGTCGGTTTTTTTTCGGAAGGAGTAAAAGTGATCACATATTAAACTTATTTTCTTCATCCATTATTAACTGAGTTATTAAGGTTTTTAATTTTCATAGACTTTTTCATGCAAAAAAGTCGATTTTCGGGAGGGAGTAAAAGTGGTCACAGATTAAGTTTATTTTCTTCAAAAACACAGTATTTACTGAGTTATTAAGGTTTTTAGTTTAATGGACTTTTCATACCAAAAAGTCGATTTTCGGAAGGGAGTAAAAGTGATCACAGATTAAGCCTATTTTCTTAAAAAAACCAGTATTTACTGAGTTATTAAGGTTTTTAGTTTTCATGAACTTTTCCATGCAAAAGAGTCGGTTTTTGGGAAGGAGTAAAAATGATCACAGATTAAGTTTATTTTCTTAAAGAACCCAGTATTTACTGAGTTATTAGGGTTTTTAGTTTTCATGGACTTTTCATACAAAAAAAGTCGGTTTTTCGAAGTTATCACAGATTAAGCTTATTTTCTTTAAAAACCCAGTATTTACTGAGTTATTAGGGTTTTAAGTTTTCATGGACTTTTCATACAAAAAAGTCGGTTTTTGGGAAGGAGTAAGAGTGATCACAGATTAAGCTTATTTTCTTTAAAAACCCAGTATTTACTGAGTTATTAGGGTTTTTAGTTTTCATGGACTTTTCATACAAAAAAAGTCGGTTTTTGGGAAGGAGTAAGAGTGATCACAGATTAAGCTTATTTTCTTTAAAAACCCAGTATTTACTGAGTTATTAGGGTTTTTAGTTTTCATGGACTTTTCATACAAAAAAAGTCGGTTTTTGGGAAGGAGTAAGAGTGATCACAGATTAAGCTTATTTTCTTTAAAAACCCAGAATTTACTGAGTTATTAAGGTTTTTAGTTTTCATGGACTTTTCCATGCAAAAAAGTCGGTTTTTGGGAAGGAATAAAAATGATCACATATGAAGCTTATTTTCTTAAAAAATCCATTATTTGCTGAGTTATTTAGGTTTTAAGTTTTCGTGGACTTCTCATGCAAACAAGTCGGGTTTTTCGGAAGGTGTAAAAGTGATCACAGATTAAGCTTATTTTCTTTAAAAACCCGGTATTTACTGAGTTATTAAGGTTTTTAGTTTTCATGGACTTTTCCATGTAAAAAAGTCGGATTTTGAGAAGAAGTAAAAGTGATCACTGATTAAGCTTATTTTCTTAAAAACCCCATTATTTACTAAGTTATTAAGGTTTTCATACAAAAAATTCCGTTTTTGGGAAAAAGCAAAAGTGATCACAGATTAAACTTATTTTCTTAAAAAAAAAAAAAAAAAAAAAAAAAAACATTATTTACTGAGTTAATAAGGTTTTTAGTTGCCATGGATTTTTCCATGCAAAATAATCGATTTTTGGAAGAAGTAAAAGTGATCACTGATTAAGCTTATTTTCTTTAAAACCCCAGTTTTTTTCTTAGTTATTATAAGGGTTTTAGGTTTCATGGACTTTTTGATAAAAAAAAATCAATTTTTGGAAAGGTGTAAAAGTATGATACATATAAATACATACATATGTATATGTATAAAATCTTATTATTTTTTAAAATGAGACGCCATTATTCATTTATACTGAATTATTTTAAAAATTAACGGATTTTATATTTTTGACATGGTAACATGTCCAAAAAACGGGATGTTGCCATACAGAGGTTATTAACATACCATTGTGAATACTCGTGCTACAGCATTGCCATACAGTAATGTCTTTCATTTTCATTCATTCCTCTGCTGGCACAACAACTTGAAATAGGTATTTACTTTTTTGTTTTATTTACGTTTCATTTCATTGTGAAACATTTGTACAGAGTTTGTGAAAAGAAAACTATGATTCTAAATACAATTTAGCAAAAATATTTTGTTATTTCTTGAAAAATAATGGAACATATTAAATTTGTTTATACAAGTTAACATTATTAGTGTCTATTGTGGATAAATGATGCAGGGATTGATGGAAATAAACAATTCATTGACGTGGGTTTTTAGTGGAACTTTTAGATGCAATTGAACAAACAACTGTACTGCAAAAATAGTAGCCACATGAAAGGTATAGATAAACAATTTAATTGAAATCTTGTAGTTAGTAGTTGCGAAGATTATTTTTTTTTTAATGTCCAGTCAATTAAGGGAAGTATTCTTTCATTATTAAAATAAAAAAATGAGATTTACTTCTGGCTAACTACTTATTTTCAGATAGAAAAGTGTAAATTGGCGTTTTCTTGAACATGTTTATTTTATGTAGATCAGGTAAAGCAAACAATTTGAACAATACATTAATAGTAATTATATGTTTTATTTCAGAATATAGTAAGATTCTCGTATATAAAGAGCTCAAGACGACTGCAGTCAAATTCTTTTTCCTTAAAATGAGAGTTGTTATTGCTTTACTTATTGAATTTAAATAGAAACTATTGGCCATACAATTCTAACAGAAACTGAAGGTGGATATAACGAATTCGATAAGATTACAAAGTAAATCTACAGTTAATTTATTGAAAATATTTAAAAAATATCAAATTAACTGAAAATACACAAAATAAGTAGTATAATAAAATATTTATTACGCTAATGTTTATTGCAGTATCTGTAAATATGGCAAATAATGGACCAATACTAATATGAATGTTTTTGGAATGTTGTCAATATTGGCCTAGAGAACTAATATCAAGGTTGGCAGTAAATAGCGTTATTTGTACAGACACCGATTAAATATCGCTTAAAATTCAATACTAATATTGATACCCATACCGATACCGAAATATGTAAGTTTTTCAAAGTTAAAACTGCATTCAAATTATTGTCCCTTCTCTCCCATTCTCGAGAGGGAACTAATAAATAAAATTGTATTCAGGAATTCAATATTTTCTTACTCTGATAAATACCGCATCTCTAGTATGATAATATTTATCAATAATGATTAAAATTGCATAAGTATTTACATGTCCTTGGCTTGGTACTCAAATGAGCCAAGCCATCTTCTGCAAATTCTATAGGCGAAGCAAATTGACCCTATTCTCTCTTACGGAAAACCAGTTTTATTTTTTGTAAAAGTATGTATTCCCTTCTTGAGGTTTTACATACTAAGTAAAATTTGTTACATATCCTTCAAAACTGGATACTAAGTCTTACACGTCATTGATGACAAATGGAATTGACAAAAAAGCATTAAAAATTTAACTTCTTGACTCCAAAATACTAAATAAATTTAAAAAAATGTTTCCATTAGTCGGTAAACCTGTCAATAAATCTTGAATATAAAATGTTAAGATATTTAAATATATTATCCTGAATATTATATGACCCCAACAAATACTAGATAAATCCATCCTTAACATATTTTTATAAAAAGTGGACTAATTTTCACTTCCAGAATTAACAGTTCACATAACCCATACATTAGAGAATGGATTAGGCTGTCTATTTTTCCCTATATGGACTAAATGGACTAGTTTATAGTCTAGACCATAGATAATAGGCAATCGATTAGTTTACAGGTTAGATATTAGAGTATAGTATTAATTACTTACCCCCAATGTCTGGTTATATTTTATCGAAAGGTTAAATTGACAATTTTCATACAAAAAATATTTTAACCGGCAGAATATCTACAGTTTAAACGATAACCGGAGATGGAATTAAAGGGACCTAGATATTTAAAATAACACAGGCCAACGAAATGAAAAATAGTAAAAGCCAAAGTAAATTAATAAAGTAGCATCACTTGAACAGCTGACTATTTTTTTTAAACTAGATAAATGAAGCAAATTGTCAAAGTTTGTTTTGAAAATTGTTAACATTGTTTACGTCGCCATTTTTAAATTGTGTTTTGCTATTTGTTAAAATTTGTGAAAAGTTGAAAAAGTGAATTAAAAGTGGTTTTAAAGTAGCTTAAAAGTGTAATAAATCGTATAATATATAATAATATAATTAAATCGTTAATATTTTTAACTTAAAAGTAATATTTTTTATTTATGTTTTGTTCACATTGTTGTTCAAGGAAATTTTATTTTGACACAATCTTAAATTATTCCAAAAACAAAATACATGTGGTTGTTGTACAACAAGAGATGTCGCTACTTTATTAATATACTTTGGTAAAAGCTCTTGAAACCAATTCGACCATTATTAATGTATTTTTAGGTGCTGAAACCGAATCTCATATCTGTTTGTTCTATCACCCACCATTTTCGCGCAAAACGAAATAATATTTCATTACGGTTATAGGAAAATTTCCCAATATTTAATAGCTTGAGTTTAACCTTCACAGTTTATGGGTTAACATTATTCGATTTTACTAAAACTTCAGATAAAAGTTTCCTATTATCTTGAATCATATATTTTGATTTTATATAAAACGCAAAACAGTAATTTCAGAAATTTTAACAAAAAATAGTTTTCTCCGAAATCCTCAAAGTTCAAGTCGCAGTAACGGCTAATATGTGAGAGATATCGACCTAATTTCTTTACTATTTTATGCCCTTATTTATTGTCCATAGATTTTCTCAAAATTTTAAAATTTGCTTAACAAAATTGCTAAAAGTTTGAAACTGGAGTTTTGAAACTACCGTCTGAAGGGTTTCCCATTTATGACTATACCCCGAATACCGTTTATGCTATCCAATTAGGATAAAAATTCATATTTAAGTTAATACGATTATATTTAATGTAATGACATGGTTTTACTAGAATATTTCCCAAAATTTGTTAATTTTTTTTAAATATTTTTTATTTAATTGTTTTATGACACTTAATGATCGGAGGAATTTGTAATAACTTTTACAATTAATTTTTAGCCGATTTTTGTGTTTTATATCATATTGGAACGATAATTGCATACATACATACATTTTTATAACTTAAAGTATAAGTCTAGAGGCAGAGACCGCCACTATTCGCAACTTCTGTAAAATAACAGAATTTTACATTTATATACAATCAGAAGGACTAAAAGCTGAAAATGTGAAAAAATGGTAGGTAATACATATGACTTTTTTATTTCCATATTCGGAATCAGCACACCAAATAACATTGGCATTAGTGAAAATCATTTAAAAAACTTTTTCATCGTAATTATACCTTATTTAACCATTCCATTGAATGAATGTCGAATCCAAAATGATTCCACAGAATCAGTTTCGAAGATAACGGTTTCGATCGATATTTTTTTTTATCTGATGAATTGCATCAAAACAAATGTACCGAACCAACGATTTCTCTAACCAAATTTATTTTATTAAAAAGAGTTTATTTTATTTATTGATTACCAGCGGTTCGGGGGGCAGTCCCAAACCTTTGTCGCTTAAGTTTTTTTGAAATTATGTTAGCTTTCGCTTATAAAAAGCTACAGTAATACCACGATTGTCGTCACTCTCTTTTACAAAGAGTATATTCGTGACAAAAGCAAGATTAACGCAAAACAGGTGGTTATTGTTAATGGACCTAACTGTCATTTTGAAATGTCTTTGTCAAACTGCTGGGACGGAACTGATTCTAGAGAAGCTTAGTTAAATATGTTCTGGAATTCGATTTTCAGCAATTTTTGTTTGAAATTAATGTAGTTTTGTTAGTTTTAAAATATTTAGAAAACTTTATTTTATTTTCGAAAAATTGGTGATCATTTGTTGAAAACTGAAAGTACTTTGGATTCACACCAATATTCCATAGAACGGTTTCCTGAAGTAATGTCGACATCACTTAATGAAAAGTTGATATTGAAAAACCTGAATTGGTTTCGTTTGCAATAAATTAGACATCACAAATGAATGAATGTATGTACCTATCGATAGATAGATAGATAGATAGATATAGATAGATAGATAGATAGATAGATAGATAGATAGATAGATAGATAGATGATAGATAGATAGATGATCGATCGGTGGATAGCTAGATCGTGATAGATAGATAGATAGATAGCTAGATATGCTGCTCGATCGCTCGCTAGCTAGATCGCTAGATCGCTCGCTAGCTAGCTCGCTCGCTCTCTCGCTCGCTCGCTCTCTCGCTCGCTCGCTCGCTCGCTCGCTCGCTCGCTCGCTCGCTCCTCGCTCGCTCGCTCGCTCGCTCGCTCTCTCGCTCGCTCGCGCGCTCGCTCGCTCGCTCGCTCGCTCGCTCGCTCGCTCGCTCGCTCCTCGCTCGCTCGCTCGCTCGCTCGCTCGCTCGCTCGCTCGCTCGCTCGCTCGCTGGCTGGCTCGCTCGCTCGCTCGCTCGCTCGCTCGCTCGCTCGCTCGCTCGCTCGCTCGCTCGCTCGCTCGCTCTCGCTCGCTCGCTCGCTCGCTCTCTCGCTCTCTCGCTCGCTCGCTCGCTCGCTCGCGCTCGCTCGCTCGCTCGCTCGCTCGCTCGCTCGCTGCCGCTCGCTCGCTCGCTCGCTCGCTCGCTCGCTCGCTCGCTCGCTCGCTCGCTCGCTCGCTCGCCCCTCGCTCGCTCGCTCGCTCGCTCGCTCGCTCTCGCTCGCTCGCTCGCTCGCTCGCTCGCTCGCTCGCTCGCTCGCTCGCTCGCTCGCTCGCTCGCTCGCTCGCTCGCTCGCTCGCTCGCTCGCTCGCTCGCTCGCTCGCTCGCTCGCTCGCTCGCTCGCTCTCGCTCGCTCGCTCGCTCGCTCGCTCGCTCGCTCGCTCGCTCGCTCGCTCGCTCGCTCTCTCGCTCGCTCGCTCGCTCGCTCGCTCGCTCGCTCGCTCGCTCGCTCGCTCGCTCGCTCGCTCGCTCCTCGCTCGCTCGCTCGCTCGCTCGCTCGCTCGCTCTCTCGCTCGCTCGCTCGCTCGCTCGCTCGCTCTCGCTCGCTCGCTCGCTCCTCGCTCTCGCTCGCTCTCTCTCGCTCGCTCGTCGCTCGCTCGCTCGCTCGCTCGCTCGCTCGCTCGCTCGCTCGCTCGCTCGCTCGCTCCCTCGCTCGCTCGCTCGCTCGCTCGCTCGCTCGCTCGCTCGCTCGCTCGCTCGCTCTCTCGCTTTGTGTCTCCCCTCCGTGTCCCCCCCCCCTTTTCCCCCCCCCTTTTTCCCGCTCCCCCTCCCCCCCGTCCTGTGCCTGTCCCTTCCCCCCCCCCCCCCGCGCCCCTTGTGTCCCCCCGCCGCCCCCCGCTTTTTTCCCCTTCCAATGTGAAATTAAGGAGCTTTTCTACAAAAAACTACAGTTATTACATACTCAACTTATTAACACAACTTTTTAAGCTCTTAAAGCATATCGAATATTTCGAGCCAGGCCTTAATCCATGTGATAAGCTGATTAGCAACAATTTTTTTAATAGAAAATAGTAATAATTTTGCAATAAAAAAATCATTTTTAAGAACATTTACCAACAAATGTTAAATAATAAAAATATCGAACATTTTAACAATCGAAATTAGATTTTATAACACTTTGAAACTTGATATCATGACTATCATTCTCTATTAATTACAACAGAATTCCAAGAATTTGAGTTATGTATATCTTATAGGTACTAAATGCATCAAACGAAATCGACCTTACAATTGACATTCATAATCATAATGAAGTTATTTTGTGCACTTATTGTGCGTTAACATTTAATTTCCCTAAATTCTATAATATATTTGTAAGCAGGCCAAAGATGTTATAACGGTTTTTAATTTAAAATATGCCAAGATTTATTTTGTATCGTTCTGTTTGGCTTGTCAACCACTTTTTTGCCGAAACAAAAACTCTTGAGAAACATATATACATAACGACGATCGCTTAATAAATTCTTTCTTTCCCTATAATTTCTCCTACAAAAGTTCTTCTCATAACATAAAATTTGTGTCTTTCCTCTAAACTTTCACGAATATTCATTTTCAATATTAAAGACTTGAAAAAAACTACAAAACTCTACTGAGTATTCATATTAAAGTGAATTTATATTTCGAAACCTTAACTCGAACAGAAAACAAAAAAATATATAAAATAAAAAAGCACCAAAAACAAAAACAACGACAGCTAAACGAGCACAAAATAATACAAATGGAAAAAATGTACAAATATACACACAGTCAGTCAGTAATACACACAGCTACTCACATTCAGGCATACATACATTATAGAAAATAAAAGAAAGACTGAAATAAACACAAAATTACTACCAGCCAACGTCGTCGAAAGAAACTACGAAATACAAACAAGCACAGCCAGCACTCAAACAACGAACCAACCATCCATCCGTCCATACACACTGTACCAGGACTGGATAAGGGAGGGCAACGGTACGATACGGGCACACAAGTTGAAGCACAAAAAACTATATTTATACACACACATGTACATTTATAAATCCAAATATACATACAGCACATAAAGATAGACAGACATTTATACATCTGTACATTAAAAAAATAAAATAAAAAAACAAACCTACATATGTACGTAGAAAATGGAAACGAACGAACTGAGCCAAACTGAAGTGAACTGAATATAACAGAGAATCTACAAATACCCACCACAACAGCAACAACTAAAAACAAAGCAAACAAAAAGTCGATCAAGACCGATAACAAAACCTCTACTCTACACATACTTATGTACACAGCTGATAATGGATTTTCAAGGCCTACGAGAAGAATACACTCTATATTTCTGATCTATTTCGAAAATTAAGTTTAGGATCTGCACAAAAGACATTATTAACATTCTTCAAGGATTGCTATTTTGCTGCTAATGATAAAGGATTCCTGTACTGTATCCCGAGTGATATCAAAATGTGCGAAATAATCGTAGTATTTTATATTAGTCAGTTGTTTTTGAAATCATTATGCAAATTAGAAGATATATTCTCGCACCAAGATGTCCGGGGATTGTCTGAAATAATGAGAGTTTTGTCTTCTTTGTCTAACAGGGACATATTGGAATGTTTTGAAATTTTACTTGTGGACTATGAATGACAATGGATTCAACATGTCTCGAAAATCACATATAAATATTAAACATTTATTGTGAAAATGGTGGATCTGTAAACGCAACATTCGTAAAATTCATGCTCACGTAATTTCATAATCTTACTTCTGAGACCACTATTAAGAATTTGGTCGACTCTGTACAAAAAACAAAAACATAATCGCAAACAAAATTTCCCGATCGCATAATTTCCGAAATTATTGGGCTATCATGCGATTTAACAAATTTATCTGACTATGTAAAAAATAGAGGCTATCCATCCTGTTATTAAGAAAATATTGAGAACTACCATTTTATAATAAAGGAATCGGCATTTGTGTACATATATGTATATTCGTTGACCGAAAGTTTATTCAGTTTAAAGAATATAAATTGTAAACAATTAAGTTTTGAATAATATGCAATACTTACTTTATTCAAAAGATTAGTTCCTAAGCCCTCTCTAACGTTTTCCTCTCGCATTACTATTATTTTAAGACAGCAAAACATGGTTTTCGATTTACACTTGCTTTCTCTAGATAAAGGTACCACTCAAACGATTTACGATAAAAGAATCGGCATTTATATATTCGTTGATCGATAGTATCTTCTTCCGATTCATATACGAGATATACCTTTCAGACGAGACATGCTGAAAAGGAGCAAAATCGAAAATTTTGATCTCAATTATTTCGTAATATTCATTATTATTTCGTATGTTGCATTTTTATAACAACAAAGTCTTAACTATTGGCTTCAACTTATAATACATGCTATGTTCCATATTGTGGTGTAGGGTATGGAAAAAAATCACCAACCAAAGATATAAAAACTCTGAAAACAACATAAGCCAGCAAAAAAAAAGCAAAAATATTGTAATAAAAGCAGCTCTATATTGAGTAAAGCTACAACACAAGCAACGACATCGAGCGAACGAAAAATATAACGTAGTATCAACCAAGCAATCAGGGTTACCCATTATTAGCATGAAAATAAAATTCTAAAAACTTTGGATGACTGATAATAAAATTAAACTGGAAGCTTTAAAGTATAAATGTTGTTAGTCAGCATCTCTCTCTCTCTTTAAATATAAAGAAATATTATTCACTTGTAATTAGTCAACTTTATAACAACGTCAAATTGTATCTCATTTATTTATCTGACGTACCGACATTTCAGTGAAATAGGAAAGATCAGCTGATTATGATATTTAGATCTTCGTCACATGAAAAAAGTTGATAAAAACAGACTAAGGAATTGCACAAACTTCAAATATACCATGACAACCTTGGACCCATGATGACCATTATTTTATCTTAACTTTCGAAAAGACATTTACTTAATTTTCGAAAAGACAACATTTACAAATTTTGGGGCAACCCTGTAACCAAAACTCAGCATTGAATGTATGAACAAATAAACGACTAAGGGAACGAACAAACTAACTTAAATAACAAACCAACCAACGAAGCAACCATCTATCCATCCATTCATTTGCTATTTACGTACGTACGTCAGCCGACCCCAGTTTCACAGATAGAACGTCGGTCGCATCAACCAAGTAAGCCAACCAAGCAGCCATGCCAGCCAAGCAAACAACTTACAGAGCAATGTACAAACGAGCATTAATGTTCAATTTTTTCTTTTTTAATTCTTTTTTCTGTTCTTATTTTTTGTAATCAGAATAAAATGAAAACTCACTTAAGTAAGCACAGTGGGTGGAAAGAAATCTATCAAGCTGAAAATATACACAATTTTGGGCCAATTTTCCCGAAAATTTTTGTAATATGAATACGAAATGTTGGGTTTAAACATTACATAAGATTTGAATAAATCGTGTTTGCGATAATCTCAAATTCTACTGATTTATAGAAGTTGTCATGAACTCTATTTGTTGCCAGTACAGATTTCTTGAAGAACGCAATCCTAAAACCTTTTGAGTTAGTATCACACTAAAATGAAGCGCTTTAAACTTGAAGAAATTTGGAAAATTTTTCAAAAGAAAGCCATGGTGGCGGACTTTTTATGATCTGAAAATGAAGATATAAGCTTCGATAGCATTGAGAAACAAATGTTTAACTGCGCTAAATTTTATCTGATTTTCAAACTTTACGTGAAGAAACAATGAGTTCACGCCATTATTAAGTCTTAGTGCAACTTTAATTCCTTGGTTTTCAAATTTGAATAACCTCATCTCCTCAAACAATCGAACTTTTCTGCATTAAGTTCGCTAATCGTCGTCTTGACGATTTCATTTGGAAGTCTCTGGTACTGCGTTTTGATTACTTTGTACTTTTTGTGGAGAACCGAGCTGACAATAATCCTAGGAACGATCCATACCACTAAAGTCATCTTGACGATGTCAAATGGCCGTATCTGGATTCCAGAGTCTTGAACTGCGATTTAATTAATTTGTATTTTTTTGTGTGGGGTACCCAGATCTGACAGTAATCAAGGAACAATCCCTACTATTAAAGCTAATATTGTCTGAACTCACTTGTGAGAAGCTATAAACGAAGTTTTGGAAGACTAGAATGTCGGAAAAGTCCTTGCAATTTGACTACTGAGTTATCAAAATTTTTGATTTGTTTCATTTTCTTGGACACTGTGATTAACATAAAATATCGTAACTTAACTAAACGTAAATGTCAAGACAGACCAGAATAAGAAGAAGCAGGGAAAAATAATAATAACAACAAGAAGAAGAAAAATAAATAAAAGTATACGAATGAGTAGAACACTTTAATATTCCCCCCAATTTTTATTATTGTTGTGCTCGAATGTTTTAAGGAGGAAATACCATTCTATACAGAACAGAACACATATTTTATGGAGCCGACCGAACAAACCATCCAACCAACTTATGTACAAGCAAGTAAACGACAATACGCCAGCACAAGAAGAAGTGGAAGAAGGGAATTTTCTTACACTCATTTATTTTTCCATACTAAAATTTTATTTTAAAAACCAGCAGTGTTCGACGATGACTACGACGGCAACAATGATGGCTGACGGGTAGAAATCGAGAAAACAACACATTGTGGCATTAGCAAAGCAATTCTCTACTCTATTCCAATATAATGTAGGAATGAACAAATGGTTGAATCATTGACTGACAGTCCGTCCGTCCGTCCGCCCGTATGACAGTCGTGGGGTCTGTTTGGCTGACTATTTAGTTGGTTGCCAGTCTGCTGTTTTGTTTGTGCTTCTACTCGTATTGTATGTATTTTACAACAGAAAACAGAATTATTTTGTTTTTTCTTTCTTTTATGTTGAATTTTATATTGATGCGCAGTTTACTTCGTCCCCATTTTAGTTTGTTGTTATTTTCCTCATTTTTTCTGTGTGTGTTTTTGTTTATTAGACGACGACGATGATGATGTTTCATGGCTGTTTCATAGAACAGAACAGGCAGTCGATTTTTATTATTTGTACGTAGAGCTTTTTGCTTCAAAAGCGTATCTAAAAGCATTGCGGCAAAAAAGGAACTTTTTCGATCGATATGAAAAAGGTCGACTGGCAGCATAGATGACAGGTTGGTCGGATGATTGTACTGTTAGTTGACCAACTATATACTACTTACATAGTGTATGTCGATAATGGCGCTTAAAAAAGCGCCAATGATATTAATACTTACATTTGTATGTAAACGTTAAGGCCTTTATTTAATGTTTGGACAAACTAATCGATGAAATAAATGTACTACTCACTAGGACACTGTTTCCCTTGGAATATGAATTACTGAAAAACGTTGAATTTTTCGGTAATATAATCGATTTCGATACTAATCGTTTTTGGAATACTTATGATAATAAATAAGTGCCTATAAACTTATTGCAGAACATAAATGTCAGTCAAAAACTGGTTTAAATTAAATTGTAAAATGTTTGCCTAAACTGCCTTATATTGCAAAACTTGCCCAGTGAACCTACAATTTTTTTGTATGGAAAACGCTCCCTCTGAAATACGCTTCACTTCAGAACAAGGTATCCAAAATTGAATTGATTGGTTTTTGGCCTCAAAAGATGATCAGTTTTTTTGGCACGGAACCCATATGTTATAATAAAGTCGTAGATAACAATTTCTTTCTCTCTCCTTGAGATACTTTAAAACAGGGTATGCGAAATTGGCTAAGTTAGCCCATGGAGCCAAAAGATGAGTCGTTATTTTTTCCTCTAGTCAGCCGGGACTATAAACTGGTAATGATCAAATGTATCCTCGGCATTTTCATGGAATGATTTGACATGAAATAACTCCCTAAAAATTTTGTGCAGAAAGCAAAAACAACGAAATTTGGGGATTTAATTCGCTTTTTGGGGCATTGTTTCACATTTAAAATGGAGAGTTATTTCATTATGAAATAATTCCTCAAAATTAAAATATGAAATATATGCTTAAAAATATTTTTGGGGAGATATTTCATTATATTACTTTTATCACACGAAATAAAAAATATATGTTTGATAGGCGGCCTTCGGCCGGGCGCATGGGTTTTCTCTTTTGAGGTATATTGGACATCGGCTTCCTGGTACACTCTCCGCGTACCAAGAGCGTTCGGCCTTAGGCCGTATATTTAGGAAATCTTTAGTAAGCGAAGCCGGTGTTGAACATATTAAAGAGTGATAGATTCTTGCGTCCGTTGTTGGACATACCATAGAGAAGAAAGAAATTGCGCCCGGCCGTAGGACGGCTATTTAGGAAATCATTATTAAGCGATTAAACTGAAATGTGGTAAACTTTGGATATAATAATAATAATAATTTGGATATTTAATAATATAATTTTTATTTTTTTAATATCCAGATGTCGAATTTTTAATGGGACCTTATGTATTTCATTGGGGAGTTATTTTATTTTAATTTAGGGAATTGTTTCTTTCCGTTGGGGCTTTTTAATTTTTAAATTGGGAGTTATTTCATAATAAAATAAGTGCCCAAATTTGAGGAGTTATTTCATTTTTGTTTCGGCCAGTTATTTCCTGGGGACCACGGGAACCGGTAGGACACAGGACAGAGTTTCGGAATTTGTCATATCCCGATTATTGGAGAAGTTACGTGGTGCACGTGATGGTTTTGGTTTAAACCCAAATTCGAGGGAAGAGAAATTAGGCCTTTAAAGTAGTTGTTTACGTAAAGCACTTCGACATCTTTACGATCTAACAAATTTAAAATCAGTACCAGCATCGAAACCAAAGCTCGAATGAATTAAAATAGACTTATCAGAAGTATACGTGTTAGAAATATTTTTTATATATAATATTTTATTCTAGTGAACACAACCTATAATAATTATGGATTAAAATCCAAAGGAGGCAAAAAATGTTTTCTGACTACCAGTGTAACTTTACAATTTTAGAGATAATGTTAAGAGTAAGGTGGTGTCAAACTTTTCAAGATTCTGATATAGTAAATGATCTCTTTAGACTAACATTGGTTTTCCAACAAAAAGTTAACGAGATCACAAGAGAAACTTAACAATAATTTGTATTTTAAATAAAATTTCCGTTTGAATCACGATGTTTTAACGAATGAATCATTTTACAGTGAATCATTTAACATAAGCTTCCTGTTCCATATTTTATTAACAGAACATTTAACATACAACACATCTGACTGTTACAACTTACAAATATTTATAATTTAAAGTTGTTTA